CACACACACAAAAAGGTCCAGTTGGGCATTAATGATGTTACTCATTACAAAACTGGCCCTTCCACGCCTGATCATAAAAAATGTGCATCGATTTATTATTCTTTTAGCATCCAAACAACCACATTATCAAATCATACCTACACCACATGCGAATACATGATTTATAATTTGCAGAAGCATATAAATATATATTGATTGCAAAAACATACCTACACCACATGCTTCTTCAAACTTCCCAATATCCAAGGATTCAGGGCCGACGGTGCAGCATCTAGCTGTGCAGGGTTCTTAGTTAGTAAGAAACACTTCAGATTCACAGCATAAGGAAACATAACAAATTCTTTGCTCAACTCCCAGAAAAAAAACAGATAATGCAAACTGTCTATTGAAAGTGAATTGAAAAATGAACAGGCGGCAGATATACTTTCATTGAAACGACTACCTAATAAGAGCAAGACGATCGACAAGTGCATTTGTTGGGTATTTCGTAGCAACCTCTATCCTCCGCTCTCGCATGCCACGTCGGATAGAAAGAGTAATGAGACCTAGTGATTAGTGGGGCTTACTGGACAGAAAGAGAATAGTATGATTCCCAGTTTGATCAGAAAAGAAGTAGAAGATCAATATGTTAGTTGAGGTACAGTATGAGGCACACCGCCGTGAGCGCCACCATGAGCTCCAGCGTCTCACCGGAGCTGCAGCAGGTGTACTGTCGCGGGCGAGCATGCCGATGAGACGACGAAGTCCACTGCAGCAGGTGTACCGTCTACCTCAAATCAACAGAATCAAAAGGAATTTTGAAATGATTTGATTCTACATAATCAACTTCCATGGATCAAATGCATATAGTATAATCTAATGTTATTTGCGAAACCTTTTGAACTACCAACTACTGAGTTGCATCCAAGCACGAAACTTCCTTGATAGTTTCGGTTCCATGTAGTTGGGCCAAACTTCAATCAAAAGTTTGTTCAACCCCTCCCAAGGATCTATTGGAGTTGTAAGGTACAATAGAGGTAAAATGAGCATGACTATCTCCATAAACAAACAATAACGTAAATAGAGCAAGGGAACAGCACATACTGTACTGTTGTGTTCAGTATATGGTGCTTCCATCTTTTGTTCAAATCTTCTACAACCCCATACTGCATCACGGATACAAAAGGGTGAGAACTAAGAAGACAAACGGAACCATTAGGGGCCCAGATAAAATGTTGTTTGCTGCTAATCTCACTTTCAAAATCATTATTAGCACTTAACAAAACGAAACATATCAGAATTTCCTAACAAATAAAAAGATATAGTTCACACTCTGTTTCTCTTTCAGAAATTACAAAGTATCATGTGAATGCCCAAGATGAGACATTATACATGCTATACTAAAAGTAAGATGGCATCAAACGAGCTATGAATCCATTTATGATCTGACCAATACAGGGGAAAGAAACAACAGCTACCTGAATGATCGCCCAGACGGCGGCCGCGAGGGGCACCCAGTTAGACAATGGCACGACCCATCACTCAACGAACCACGCGAAGAGGCCGAGCAGGATTAATTTTCTTGGAAGATACTGACTTGTCAAAAGTCAGATGCCATGACCAGATCTTGCCATCTTCAGATACCGATGCTAGATATGTCATCGTCCCTTGATACATGTTCTGGTTCGACTCTATATCAAGAAATTATTGAGTGTGAAGATTGCACATGTGCGAAATCCTGAGATTGTTTGCCGATGTTACAAAAAATAGATTCTAACTGCCAGATCGTAGTAGCAAGAAAAGGGAAAAGATAAAGAACAGAAATAATTCACCTGCCCTCCACAAGATCAGGTCGGCGCCGTTCTGCTGCATGAGCGACAGTAGCGCGTCCCGCACCGGCCGGAGCAGATCCCGCCATCCCGCTCCCACAATTTCTTTATATGGGTAGGGATGGTTCAGAACATTTTTCTCGAATACGCATGAGCATGTGTATCATATATTAAAGAATAAGCGGCAAAGAAGCCGGATACAACGCCTTTCGGCTATTACAATGCCAAACACAGGAATTAGCAAACACACCCACCACGCGTACTAAAATACTTGCTTCACCTAGGCCAACGTCATGCCGATGGCGATGGGGCAAGCCACAGAGCAACCGAGCCGCGTCACAACTGCCGTCGAAGACCTCTACAACAAGACCAAAACTGAAGACCAACACAGACCAACGTACCCCACCCATTGCGCCAAGAAGAAGTTGGCAAGTGGATGGCAGGGCCTGGACGGACCTAGAGACAACATCAAGGGATGGTTCAGAACATTCAGAGTGGCCATGCCCGCAGAAGATTTTGATTTCCTCAGAGCGATGATTAACCTAGCCAGCTAGCCATTTTCAGGCTTGGGACTAAAGCTTCAGAAAATCTCCAAGGATCCGTGATTCGAAGGTTATGTTCTCAAGACAGATTTGCATCGGTTTTTAGGAGATTCACATCAGATTTCAAACTAAGAATCTCATAGGTCATCCCCACGCTGAGCAGAGCACTACTCACCAGTGACGAGATCGAACGCAGATGGAGGCGCAGGAGCGGGAGCACGGAGATCCCAACCAGGAGCACAACCCTCCTTCCGAGTCCCCTCCCGGAGTATGAGCAGCGAGACAGAGACACACGGGCAGAGGTCCCTGCTGCTGCAGACGAGGCCGAGGTCGGAGGCGGTGACGTCGCCTGTCAGGGGTGGAGAACCTCTCTCCCGTCGCGGCCCCCCTTCCGCTGCCGTACTCGAGGAAGAAAGGGAGAGGCGGAGTGCTAGATATAGGCTAGGGCAGGGGAACGGGGAGGAGAAGACGAGAGAAATGGCTGAGGCGGCGGCAGCGGAGGCTTTGGAGGTTGCGTGCGAGAGCTGATGTGACGATGTGGGGCAAAAGAAAAGTAGAGGTTACCTTCCAAGGGAAGGAAGGGATCCATCGCTAGTTTCTTTTTACTTTGACATAGTAAAGACGGGGACGAGCGATGGGTGCCTGATGGATGTAACTTTTTGTCGTACATGCGAACGCGCGAGGAGGCACCATTGATGCGCACGTTAATGTTTTGGATTCATTGATCCCGATATACTCAACAGGGAGCTGCCATTCCAAATCAGTCTGACCTCCTCCTAGTGGTCCAACTAGAACAACTGAATTTTGTACAATCAATCTCCTCAGCGAGGTTAGCATCAAAAGGTGCTTCAACTCCAGAGGTGGGCACTTGTCCAGTGTCAGCGTCTCTATACCCGTTTCTTTATCAGAAACTAACACTTGCTCTAAGCTGTGCAGATCACCCTTTCCAATAATTTCCAATTTTGCTTCATTGAATGATTTTGAGTATGCAAACTTCTCCAGTAGCTTTACACATTTCATCCTGACAGAACACAGATTTTCAATCCAGGAGATGGGAATTACTGACGATAATTCTGGACAGTCTAGTACCTGAAGCTCTTGTAGTTTGGGAAACCAATTTAGGGAAACAATGTGGTTTGAGAAAGGAAACCCCAAGAGTTTCGGGCAATCTCTAATAATCAGCACTTGCAATAGAGGGAGCATATGAGTATCCGGTGGCAACAAGTCTCCAACCAGGGAAGACTCTTGTTCAGCTGGGTAAATCCAATTTTCAAAACTTCCTAGTGAAATGAGTTCAAGCTTTATTAGCATGCAAAAACTTTTCTCCACGATAACATCTTTCAATCCAGCAATATTCTTCAACCTCAATTCACGAAGATCCCACGCCTTCCCTAAAGAAGGAAAAACGTCCCAAGAAACACCATCAAGCCAAAAAGATTGTAGAGCTTCAACAGCGAACTCATCACCATGCCATGTTGGACAAGAAGGACCTCCGTGCCCTCTAATGCACAACACTTGAAGATCTCCATGTGGTTGAAGGCTCTCAAGAACCGCTACTTCCACACTAGGCTCAACACAAGTTCTCTTACTATCCCAGTCCAATGTTAACCTCCCCAAGTATTTTTTTTCTCCAACAGTTTTGCCTGAGCTGCTTCTTCTACTGTATCTACCTTCTCAAGGTTGTAGATGCCAAGCTCCCTTAGCTTGGTCAAGTGCTCTAGTTGCTTTGGTTCAAACCCTTCACTTTTTTTGTTGACTTGAAATACCTTTAACTCTTCTAAAAGTTTAAGTTTGCCCACATTCTGAATATCATAGTGAAGCTGATCATTGCTTGGGACATAAAAATGGCACAAGTTGACGAGGTTGCTCATGTCTTCAGGCAAATCATGACTGCCATACCAGAACCCAAGATTTAGAATCCTTAAATTATACTCCCTCCGTTCCTTGGTATAAGGCGTATAGATTTTTGAGAAAAAGTCCGAAATATAAGGTGTATTTCCTTGCACCACTCATTTGGACAACTTTTTAAGGGATTTGATTACATTTCCTTACATAGAGCAAGATCCTCTATTTTCTCATGTCAATTAGTCAGGTGTAGTCTCGCCCAAAACTTGTGAAATTTTTCCTCCATGTGCGTTCTTTAATTTCCGTGCCAAAAACTATACACCCTATATTTAGGAACGGAGGGAGTAAAATTTAGAGATGTTAGGTGGCAAATGCATATCTCTATTCCATGTCCCTAACCATAGGCATCGTAGGTGGACAAGTCCTGAAAAGTTATGTAACATGGATTCCACAGGACAAACCAGGCTGGGCAAACGAAGAACACGAAGAGCGTTCGCTTCCCCAAAGAAATCACCAAATATCTTGACAAAACCTTCATCCACTTTTCCAAATAACATCAATGTTTGCAAATCTCGAACCTTAAATCCTGTCTTCAGTTCTTCCAAGTCACTCTTTAATTTTTCACCAAACACTGCATGATATTCACCTAAGTCCTCTGTGCTTATAGACAAGTGGTGGGTGGTTGGTTGAATCTCTACCGATCCAACACTAGGGAGACGTAAACTGAAACAATCATGGGCTGCAACCTTCAATGCCAATTCATGCAGTAGGTCATGCATAACATAATACATACCACCATAATTTTCCTCTTCTCTGAAAAATCCATGGATGACTAACTCCTTTAAATTTCTCAAACCTATGTCTTCAAGTGTTTGATTTTGACCAAGTATCAAAATATCTAGTCCAATCCACAAGCTGATGAGCTCATAACTTCTGAAACGGTAATCTTCAGGAAACAATGCTGAATAGGAAAAACACTGTTGCAGATGGAAAGGGAGAAAATCATAGCTAAGCTTCAAGGCAGGCATAATTCCATTGTCACCAGTCTGCTTCGCCCATTCTTTACTTCTTAGTACCCTTCTCCAATGAGGCAAACTGAGGTCTTTACTCAGCAATCTACCAACGGTCTTTGCTGCAAGAGGGGAGCCCTTTAGCTTTCCGATTATCTCATCTCCTGTGCCAAGCAAATGAAGTTTATCTCTTGGATATTGCTCAGCATCAAAGACATATACAAGGAATAACTTCCTAAACTCTCCGAGTTCTAAACCATTCAGTTCTTTTGGCTCTTCAGCTTTCTTAACCTGATCTGCTATTTCCTTTTGCCGAGTTGTGACTAGAATCATGGAACCCTTTTCTTGTGACTTGCCAAGTATCAACAATAGTTTTTTCCAGTCATCCACATCAGTAAACTGCCATATATCATCCAATACAAGTAAGAACCTTTTGTGTCTCAGTCTGTGTTCAATCAGCTCTTGTGTTGTACTACACCCATTTTCACCTTCAACGGGAAGGGTATCTCTCTTAATCTGTTCTAGCACCTTATCCAGGTTGAAACTGAATGACACACAAATCCAAATCCTGACCGGAAAATGATTGTGCACTTGTTGGTTGTTATATATGTGTTGTATCAAAGTTGTCTTCCCCATTCCACCTGGACCAACAACCGGAAGCACGGTTAGACCCTTGTCACAGTATTGACCCTTGGTGATATCATGTATGATGCTAGTCATGGCACGGTCCCTTCCGTACAGTTTTGGCTCGGCACTCTGAGGTGTGGTGGTGGGACGATGCTGCGCAATGTCTAAGACAATTCTAGCACCACAACTTTGCAGAATCTTGTTAACCTCATTACGCATAGGCTGCAGTTTATCTACAATGTCCTTCATTCTTTGGGAGAAATCAACCCTATTAAACTCAAGCTCATTGCCACGATCGTCATCACCAACATGTGGATGCGGGGAGGATGAGCAAGGGAGGAGTTTACTGAGCTTGGGTACGCATCCACTAATATCCTGATTGGCGTTGGGCGTTGAGGAGGAATTGTTGTGTGACCTCTGCCGGCGCTTAGCACACTGCCAAGCGCAACCGTTGACCAGTTTACCAACAACTTTGGCAGTGTGGCGAGCATTGAAGGCAAGGTTGCGGACGCAACCCTTGCCGTGCTTGTGGGCAGCATCGCAAGTGCCATGGAGCTGGTCATGGATGCGGAAATAGTCCAGCTCGTCCAGCAAGTCTTCCGCATTCTGCGCCGATTCCTGCAGCTTCTGCAGCAGCATCTCCATTGCCGGGCCTCTGAGTTCCTTGTGGGCAGCTTGCTCAAGCATGGCCTTCACGAGCAACAATTCCGTGCCGAGGGCCTCGACGTTGGTACCAAAGTTCTTGGTGGCTGCCCAAGCCCCAGCACGCCGTCGGCAACGGGGGCTAGCGCCTTGCCCACCACCCATTGCGCCACGCGGAGCGCCGCGTACATCCCCATCTGATGCAGGGATGTACGACCTGCATCGATCCAGAAGCCAAAGGGGAATCCAGTTATTCGTACATATATGCATGCATTGATTGTTGTCACTATTAAAAAGACATCCTAGAAAAGATACCAGTACAGATTGTATAGGCTAGCTGCAAATTAAAGGAGAGGAGTATGTAGTACGTACGTTGATATGCGCACACCAGGCGCGGGTGATGGATGCCGGCTGCTGAGGAGGCCTAGCTAGCTGCAAAAAGGTCTACCAGTCAGGCCTGCAGGAACACCTTAACAGAGAGGGAGGGAGATCTGAGTTTGGTACCTGTAGCTGTCCGGCGGCCGTGTCGCTGGTCCAGATCCAGGAGCCACTGTCGCCGCGGTGACGGGAGAGAAGGCGAGGAAATGGCACTGCAGGGAGGGGCAGGGAGAAGGCGACAGGAGCTGTGTTGCTGGCCGGCGAGGCGAATAGAAGAGCAGCAGGACCAGGGAGGGGCGAGCAAGGTGCCTACGAGTGATTTACTAGTATCAATGGGCTAGCTGCACTTGTCACACAGATTTAAAAACATAGATGAGGGGCCCAATCCCCAGCACGCCATCCGCAACGGTTGGCCTCGAAGGCCATCCTCTGACCAGATACACGGATAGACGACGTATGTATGATAAACTAAAGGGCTGTTTGGTTTGAGACTAAGGGGCTGTTTGGTTCTAGGCCTAACCATGCCACACTTTGCCATACAATGTTGCCACACTTGCCTAAGGTTAGCTCTTCAAAATGAGAGCCACAAGTTGGCAAGCCTAAGAGAATCTTGCTACACTTTTTGAGTGTATGTGATGTGGGGCTTGAACCAAACATCCACTCAAGTTGGTCAAACTTGCCTAACCTTAGGTGTGGCAACCTTAGGCAAACTTAGTCTCGAACCTTTCTAATTTTTTCCCTCCCACCCTCTCTCACCAGATACCAGCAGCTGGAAGGTAATGCTCCCACCAGATCTTATCAACTAAAAAAATCGCTGCCAGCAAAGCATCCCTGGAGCTAATGCACTCAGTTTGGACCCTGTTTAGCTAATTTTATTCCGTACTGAACTGCCGGCCTTTGTTGGTTTCCTGGTCCATGCATGAATGTAAACCTGCTCCACATGATACCATCACCTAATATGGTTTCACTCTAACCAAGTTGGCATCATATATATTGGAAGATAAAGTAAAATAACAAAAGATAAATTAAGACATGGGTACCAAGAGTAGCTTGGTCTGATACATCCAGTCTTACTAGCCAATGACACTGACATTTTTGTCTTCTCAAATTTCAATTGAATTCAAGCCAGCGCCTTGGTGTGTTAGGTTAGCTAGCTTGCTGTTCAGACAAGTTGAACTATTTTTGTATATACAGAGGCACATCAATATAAAGCTGCTAAGCAAAACCAGCATTGAATGGATGGGCTATCCCTATCAAGCTATGCAAGATTGCACTTTTGTTCGCACTCCACCAAAACACTGAGAGAATAATGATGCAGCCCCTATTTTCCGAAGAAATTGTACCCGAACGAGAGTGTAGGTGGAGGAACGGTACCGGCGGCGGTAGGGAGGGCAACGGGGAAGTGGGAGCCAACGGTGACAGAGATTCCATCGGTGGCGACGTCCACCCTCTCGGCGCCGAGTGTTGTGAGTGAGGGCGTGCAGAGCTCGCCGCCGGCCATGGCTGTAGGCATGGGGCTTGACCTGAAACCATGCATAGTTCTTTTAGGAAGGGGACGACAGTTTAGAGAAGATTAATGTAATTTTATTTTCGAGAGAGAGAAGTAGAGAGTTGTAATCTAAATTTTACCTGAGTGTAGCTACCAACAGTACATGATGCCTGACTGAAATATGTAAAAGATCAATCAGAGCGAGACACTTACAGTTCCACCACCTGCTAGGCAAGTTTTGCATATAAACAGTTGGGGACAGCAAATAAAACCCCGGCATTAATTGATCCTGATTCGCTGTTGACTGATCAACAAAATGCACTGCTTTGTAGTAATGGGCAGCCATTGGAACATAAAAAAAGTACTCACAGGTCTCTGGAATAAAGATTACATAAAGTAGCGCTAAGAGTAAACAAAGAGCAGCATGGCTACGGAGACGGGAGCCAGCCACAGTAAGGAAGAGAGGGCTTGATGTAAACATTATTATTTGATATATAAAGCCCTTTTTCCTGTAAAAATAAATAAGATAAGGAGTAAGTGATTGTCTAGTAATAACTGGGCTAGCTGCACTTGTCACACGGATTAGAAAAAAGTGCCAGGGGGTTTTCATCAGCTACAAACAAAGTGCTAATCAATACTACTACAAACTACTCCCATCATCCCAGAATACTCTTTTTTTTGCGGGGATCATCCCATAACATATACATTGATATACAAGCTGCGTAAACGTGGAGTCTGAAGCAAGCGAATGGGCTCCTTCAGTGTCAAGGTCTCTAGTGATATACTGCTAGTGAACTGACGGATCCTCAGTTATGGTGCCCCTGAACAAGTGATCAAGCTCAGGACGGACGGTCCAGTGACCTGCTTGTGCCAAAGATGCATATGTCCATCTATACATCTTGCGCTGGTGGTGTTGCGGTCTTCAAGGCACAAGCACATGCCATCCGGACGGAGGACTGGAAGACGGGGCGCCTTCGTCCGTTGCTCGCCGTTGGGCGTCTCCTCGCCGTCGCCGCCGTCTGAGGTCGGGAGCAGAGGAGGGAGGAATGGGTTGGCTCATTGAAGGGCCCGGCTACACAACTCAAAAAAGAGAAAAAAAGGCCACTAGGATCCACAGAAGAAAAACAATTAACACTAGTGCCTTGCATTCCCTCTAGACAAGAAAATCGAAAAACCCCTCCACCTGCTTGGCCTATCAAGCATGTGGATGTGGGTGCCTGCTGCTGCACTCCCGTGAACCAGCCGAGGGATATTTTCGTCCAAAGCAGTCTCGCAATGCTTATAGACACTATATTTTGAAATCTAAACCAAAAACCTATGCGCGCTATAATAAGGAATGAAGGGAGGGTTGCCGAGCCTCGTCGCCGGCCATGGCCACAAGCATGGGCCTTGACCACAAAGGGGTTATGACTTTTAGAGCAGATAGCTGTAAATTTTATTTTATTAGAGAAATAGAGGGCACAAACTGAGATTAAATTCTGAGAAAAAATAGTAATTCTTGGTTTGATTTTCATTTTGAAAGCATTCAAATGATAAGCCATTTGATTGGTATATCTATCAAAAACTATGTGTGGAAATTTTCAGAACAAAATATGTCGTTGTTTGATTCGTTAGTACTATGGGTTAGGCAAAGAAATTTATTTAGGTGACACACTAAGACGCTGGGATGGTTTTAATATGCGGACGTAACAGACTCAAAAGTGCAACCTGACAAGCTAGCAACAAATTAAAACATTGCAATCAAAGAAAAAAAGAGTGCAGGATTGTTACTACAGCACAGACACGGCATTTGAAGGAAGAAAATAAAGCACCGGAACCATCATGACCATCTCTGCGCTCCTAGCTAGACCGACGGGTTCATCTCCAGTTCCATGCCGCCTGCCCCTCCGCCGTCCTCGAAAACCGTGATCAACCCGTCCAGCTTGTTCCCCGGGCCGGTCCGGACGCCCAGCGGCCTGCCCCAGCCAAAGTCGTTGCCATACACATCAAACCGCGGCGAGCCGCTCACTACCACAATGGCAGGATCCGCACCTAAGTCAGGCGCGTATCTTAAGCTGGGGTTTTTAGACCAAGCCACGAGCTCAGCTCTCACCGTCGCCTCGTCGACCGATGCCACGGCACGGTTCAGTAGCCAGGCCGTCGAGCCCAGCCGACCGTCCCCTAGAATCTCGCCGACTGGCTGCTTAGCAACCGCTCCTGCAATCGCTTTGCCCACGTAACCCTGTGGAATGCCCTTCACCCGTGTCCTGCATTCGACAGGGAGGACGAGCCTCGTCTCCCGGTCCGGCGCCAGCCCCCGGGCTCGGCACACCACTCGCCATAGGTGCGCCAGCAGGGCCTGCAACGAGGAAATGGTGGCCGTGGCCGTGCTGGCCATCTCGGCATTCGCTTTGGCCTTGAGCTTCTTTATACTCTCCGGGGAGAAGTGGATGGAGCATTCCTGCACCGGCGGGCACCCAAACCGCCTCGCCATGTCCTGCACCCTTGCAAAGGGCAGAGGGATCGGCACGGGGCAGCCCTCGTGGAACCACCTCTCCAATGGAGGCAATGGCGCCGCTGTGAATGCGTTGCCGTCATCGCTTCGGCTAATCTCCGACCATGTGTTGAAGAGGTCCCACAATGTCGTGCCGTCCGCGGCCGCGTGGCTGAGCGACATGGCGACGAAGACGCCGTCGGCGAGCTCAGTGACCTGGACGGCCAGGAGCGGCTGGCTGGGGTCGACGGCCGCGTCCGTGCTGAGCATCCCGTTGAGAGGGAAGAAAGAGGAGACAACGCGCGGGATGACCCGGAGCGGGCCGGAGATGTCGGATACGTAGACCCCGGGCGCCATGGCATGGACGAACTCGGCGCCTTCGTCCCCGCAGCAGAGCGAGATCGTCAGGCCCTGCGGGGCGCCGGCACTAGTCGCTGGCGCGACGGTGAAGCGGCCGGCAAGGGGTAGAAGCGGCCCAAGCACTACTAGGAAAAGGCCTACTAACGGCGCACCTGTTTTGGCTACTAATGGTGCATTACAGGTGCGCCATTAGTATCCCATAGGTGCGCCATTAGTATCTGGTATACTAATGGCGCACCACCATGTGGTGTGCCATTAGTAACAATTTTTTTTAATTTTTTTTGTTTCTTCTTAATCTCAGGTAACTATTTCACATATGAGATATCCAACACATATATATACAACAAGCATCCATATAACAATCATATCCAACACAGAAGTTTCATCATATATACATACATAGCCAACACATAGTTTCATCGTTACATATTACAAAAGTTTCACATTGTTCATCCAACACCGTTA